ATATAATATGTGAATTCTGCTTGTGCAGGCATTTTCTTATACAAAATGCATTTTGCAAGTTCTTTCGACTGATTTTAATGGGCGTGCAACTTTACATTGTTTTGTCTGATACGATTTATTTATACAAAATGCATTTTGCAAATTGCAAGTTCTTTCGACTGATTTTAATGGACGTGCAACTTTACATTGTTTTGTCTGATACGATTTATAATCTTACTATATTATATTACAACTGAATGATGCCAAGTTTAATTTGCAGGTCAATGTGGATACGATCTTAAGAAGGTATATCTGAAATTCTTTCTCGACATTGTTATATCTAGATTACTGCATCTTACTTGCTTAAATACCACATTTCGATCATGCTCCACAAAATTTTGTTTCATTTTCTTTCTGTGTGAACTATTTAGTTTAGCCAAAGCAGTGAAAAGCCTAGTCAATCTTCTAGTAAAACATATAATCTTTGGTCTTAAGTTGACATGTTACATAATTATAGGCTAATCCATATATTTGCTGCAATTGTCAATTCTTCATTTGTTTCTTAATTTGTTTTTTCTCAATGTAATGTTTGGTCTTAAGTTGACATGTTACATAATTAAAGGTTAATCCATATATTTGCTGCAATTGTCTATTCTTCATTTGTTTCTTAATTTGTTTTTTCTCAATTGTCAGATTTGCTTTTGGCCTTTTACGTGAACCATTACTTCTCTTCTAATATAAGCATTTCATTTTTATTGGATGCATTTATATTGAAGTGTAACATGTTAATATATCTTGGGTATGCTTATTTCTGTAGGGATATGACTTGTTAGGTTACTAGCTGTATAACTCTATGTTAGAATTGAGCCATTAACATGAAATGAACTGTCATTGATTTTATGACTTGGGGTAGCTTATGGACAACATCAACTAGGTTTGGAGTTATGAAAACATGTTACCATCTACCGATGTGTCGATTCTTGGCAAGGGATAAATATCCTTCAAGCAGGCGGTGTTGAGATTGGTGAAGTTGACACACATTCTCCATTTGTCGTTGAACTTTCGAACCATAACTACATTTGAGAGCCAGGTACGGTACTACACCTCTCGAATGTATTATGCCTCCTTCAGCTTCCGGATCTTTACTGCTATCAGCTCTGCCAAGGCTCTTGTAGTCGATTGAAGTTTCTGTTGTACTGGTCGAGTGAAGGTGCTGATATTGAGCCGATGACATGAGACGTCGACCGACACTCCACGTGTCAGCCGAAACTCCGGTCATCTCCATGGCTATTTAGGCGAATACGTCCCAACCAATGGGGAGGGTTCGGATTAACAGGACCCTGTGTGC